ATTACCATATACAATATATCTGTACTGTTACTATTGTATTGCTATCCTTTTTTACAAATGTGTATGCATGGCATTAATAAGACAAGAGTCGAAATATTTATCTCACAGATACTTCTTCATGACTGGAGGCGACAGCAACTTGGACGCCAAGTATTTGAGCGCTTAATTTTTTGTAGATGCTTCTTAATGCTTTTTTTCTCTTTGACGTTCTAACTATGTACGAAATGCTTCAAACAACGCTTACTTTCAATAGGCGTAGTCGAGCTTTTTGTATTTTTGATAGAGTATATACACGATACTCTTACAATATTGATTCATTATGAGAAAAATAAAATTTTTTCATTTACAAACAATTGTATCCCTGTTGTTATGAAAGTCAGAATTATCATAAAAGAGTAGTAGGGTATAAAATATTCACAAGGAAAGAATCATTTTCGTAAATCATACGAAGCTGTGTAGTAGCTGAAATCAAAAACACTTTTCAAATGTTTTCTGTTCCAGGAAAGATACATTTTAATTTAATTAATTAATTTATTTATTGTTGTGGTTCCTTTCGGATGATATATAGCTGGGAATGATTGCATTTGTACGCTTAACTGCAGCTTGTTTTTCTGCTCTCATTAGCCTAGCAAATAAGTTTGTATATTTAATTTGTCTCAATATTTTAATTAATTTTATCATTTTATGAATTTTTGCAAGAAATAAATGAAAGGAATGTGTTGTTACATGAGATCAAAAATGTTAGAGTGTTCGTAATATTTGCTAATAAAGCTTGGTGGCACTTTGTTTTGAAGTATTGTTTTAATTATTTTCAACTTTATTATAAATTGTAGGAAACGCACTAAAATTATACTTTAAGATTAGCTATTAGAATATCAATACCTCATAATGAAAATGTGTAAAAGGGAAAATGTATTTCGTAGTCTTTTCAAATCTGAATCTCAGTTGTGGAACTGTAAACAGAAATTGTACGTTATTAGAGACAAAAACTTCCTACTTTTCTTATACTCGTAATTGATGTAATCCTCATGTCTTATTTTAAAAACTCTTAAATTAAATGCAATGGTAAATTGAATATTACTTAAAATGTGACGTTTTTCAGCATTTGTGAAAAATCTCTCTATTTATAAAAAGTAATAATCTGAAAACTAGTAATTTTTTTTCACTTTACGTAAGCAATTATTAGCACTATGAGAGAAAACTCTCCATACGATGGAATAAAACTTATTACACGAAAGTTCAAGAGTAGCTGTATCATGAGTAGAAAACTTTTTAGTACAATCTATGCTTGCCGATAATGCACTGCTTCTGCTATTAAATACATGCAGATACTGAGGTATATTTAGAGCCTGAAGAAACAATTTCATTTTGAACCCATAATATATGATGAAAGGAAAGCTACAACCTATTACGCAATAAAGTATTTCTGTTTCTTTTTTATATACTCCTAATTAATTACAACGCTAATAAGTGAAATGCTTTCTTAAACTAATGCACGAACTATTTACGATTTGTACATATGTTTAAGCTAAGTTTTTAAAGTAATTAATTTTTTAAGAACATTAATACAAATTTTTAAAAGTAGATATGCAACGAAAGTTTTAAATTTAGACGTCTTGGCAGGAAGAAAATATGTCAAAATGTTAAATGTCAGCAGAAATTATTTAATGCTAAATATATGATATGACATTTTTGTTTAATAGCGATATGAGTAGAGATTTTTATCAAAATTTAGGAAGAGCGAATTCCCGCTCAAGTTATCTTTTTCTGTCCGATTCAAAATCTGCCTCTGTGGTCTCAACAGACTCTTGATACGAAGTATGTCCACAGAACAAGAAAACAAATGACTTTAAGAGTTTATTTAAGAAACGATATCAATGATTTGGGTGAAATTTCAAGCAATGTTTTAATTCAATGACACTATATTTATTTAAATTCGTTGATCATATGAAGGTTTATATATTATGAATAAAATGTTGTCAATGATTATATACAACAATAATGTGATTACATGAAGTACATTTAATCAGTAAAAAGCAACAATTATTTCATAAAATGGAAATTTACATTACATAGTGTATTTTTCTTCATCAAAAATATTCTGAGGAAAAGAAATTTAATTTAAAGCTTGTACTTGTTTCCTTTTTTCCCTAAAATAGTTAATTTTGAATGAATCCTTTGTGAGAAATTTTTAATATTGTATAATATTTCTCGTTTAAATGAAACGTAATTCTACCAGATTTACAAATAACTTTGAATATTATTTGCTTCTGGCAGTATTATTATTTTTTTCCTCTACTGTACTTTTAAACAGATACATTTTATTTCGCGTTAGCTATTTTAATTCGATGCTTTAGTAATGCATCTCTAATAAACTGAAAAGTTTAATACTTTATTAGTTTTTTATTACTATTTTACTTTATTACTATTTACATTCATGAGAAACATTGTATATTTAATGTAAGATTTAGTTGTTAATTCCATTTATAATTTTTATCGTTCACCGTAGTGGGTACTGTAATCCTTATATAAACAATACCTTGAAATGCAATGATATTACTTACCTATGAATACCAAATTACCTATGCCAACTAAACATGGCCCCAAGTTTTAGTACTTATGTGAATAAAAAGAGAGTTAAATAATTTTTAGTGTTTTTTGTTTCCAAATTTCCTTCAATAATCTGGTATTTATAAAAAAATCCTAGAAAGGAAAATTCCTTGAATAATTATGTTATGATCTGTTTTTGTGTATATCTGAAAGAGTTTTGAGAGCTGCCTTTGTATATCGAAGCCCTAGAGTAGTTGGGGAGTCCCTCAGGCGTGGTACAAATCCCTGATATCCAGGTATAGGAGTGCGTTCTTTAGTTCTGTAAGTAGATGGTTTTCTATGTTTTAGAAAGTCTGAAAGTTCTTCCCTATACGGCCGTTCTGAAGTTGTTCTTCGTTGAATACGGTTATCCTTTTCTGCATTCATTTCTTCAGTTTCGCCATCGACAGAGCTGTCGGAATCTAGATCAACAGCATTTTCTTTATTGTCTATGATTTCATCTTCATATTTCTGTTCCAAGTCTAGAGGTGTTACTTCTTTGTTTTCTATAGTTTTAGCGGAAGCCTGAGTTGGTAGTGATATAGCTGTTTGCGTATGAACTGTGTGCGCTTGAGCTGTGTGCGCCTGCACCTTTGATGGTTGCAATTTGGAATTGGATTGCTCTAATTTATTAGAAGGTTTACTCGCTTCAAGACACCTGATAGCTGCTTTGCTATAACGAACACCCACTGCATTGGGGGATGCCTTCAGATGTGGAATATAACCTTTATACCCGGGAATATACGTTTTAACGTTATCAAGATACGTAGATGGAGGTCTTTTATAAATAAGTCTCCAATCATTCTCGTCCGAATCCCGTTGTTTTGGTTGAGGTCTGTGTCTTGGTGTGTGAAGTGGTCGTTTATCAAGCAGTTTTTTGGGAGAATTTCCCGTATCATCTTCATCAGTTCCTTCTTGTTTTTTCTGACGGTTTTTTTGTTCATGTAGAGAATGAAGACTTCTTTCAACTGCTTTTATGTATCGAATACCTAAGGAAGAAGTAGATGTTCGTACACGGGGAACAAAGCCTTGGTATCCTGGTATAGGATAATTATTCGCATACGTTGAAGGTGGTCTGTTGTCAAAGTATGGGTCGTCCTTCTGTTTCTTTTCCGTTATTTGTTGCAGTGCTGAAGTGAAATGATGCCTAGATATTGGAAGTACTGCTGCTGATTTCGGGTGAAAAGTTGTTAACAGAGTATCTACTTCTTGGGAAAACGTCTTGCCAGGATTCACATACTGTCTTCCCGGTAAATGACCTAAATATTTAAAATAAATAAGCAAATAAGAATACGAATATCAATTTTAAAACACTAAATAAGCCATAAAAATGTATTTTAAATACTAAACAGGCAGGATATGACAATATTATTATTCGCTACAGAAAAGCTTAGTTATAATAGAAAAGTTGCAAATGAAATAAAACAAATTACTAAATTTAAAATAAGATTAATTTAGAATTGCGAGTTTAGACATTTAAAAATTACCAAGTCTCATACTTTCCTTTAAAAATTAAACACTTGGAGGTAATGTATTTATTATTATTATAATAAACATGTTTACTATTAAGATTTTATTATGAGATACTATGTAGTCTTATTGAAGGCTTGATAGTAGAAAAGTTACTTAATTTTTTCTCGGGTATCAGAATGAGTTTCGAAGCTACTGACTAATTTTTTCTTAGTAATATTTTTTGAAAATTAAATAAATCGCACAGTTAAATTATGATTATTAAAGAAGGTAGAATTCATATCATGTATGTCATTCGCAGGAATATTATGTCAATGCTTATGTTATTGTTTGTGGCGAATAATAAATGTGTGTGTTGAATGACCAGCTGCAATTGTTACTCCTTTGAATTTCATTTCAATAGTTCGTGATTTTAGAATGCATCATTATTTAGTTCGGTGCGTGTTTCTATTATTTTTGCCTTTTTCTCACAGGCTGTGCTTTTGCTTATGAGGTTGCAATTATTTTTTTTTTGTTTACTAAAAATAAATATAATAATTAAAACCTACTAATGAAGAAATGTTTTAGCACAATGAAAATTTATTACTTTTTAATTATCTGTTTACAAATTATATTAATAATTAAATACTAATTTATTTAGTAGTATATTAACTAGATTTTTACAAGTAAAGCTGAATATTCATATAGAAAATGCAGTCATCTAAGCCAAACTGCTCATCCCTTAATTAATACTTTACTAGCATTTTGACGTAATTACTCATCTTACATCTGCAACTGATACGCTGGTTAAATGTACATTAAATGCTGGTAAATTACAGTAAAAATCTACATTCGTTTTGCAAAGGTCTTTAAAGCTAGGCTGTCTGCCAGGAAAGTTCTTTAAAGATAAGTTGCACAACTAGGTTGAAGCACCGGAAATGTATTACCCCGAGAACACAGCGAGTTACCTTAGGAAATTGTATTCGTAAGCAAATAATAAGACATTTTTATTTATATTTTGTCAAAGAGCTTTGAAACATTACCTTAAGGCCATATTTAATACTGAAGGATAATCAACTAAATCAAATTTCTGTAACCACTTCTACTAATAAAAGTGACTATGGTGACTTTCCTTTTAAGGTTAACTTCTGTAGACAGAAGAAAGAAAGTTAGTAAGGATGTTTCGACCGGCCCGATGATCTACGGAACTCTATCCAATCTTGGGGAGACAGACTTTTTCAGCTCTCTAAGAGCAGTAGAGTATATCTGAAACTATAAAGGCAGACCGTTTCAAATTTCTAAGGGTATATTAGAAACTATATATGGGAGGTGCACTGCTCTGTGCGCTGGGAGGCACTAACGAATAGGAGCCTGATTCATTTATGTTGTGCCAGAACGTTGTGTTATGCCTTCCAAAGCCACGACTTCACAGATCACAGATCTCAACCAGCACATAAACGACCCCAATGGGAAGGAAATGGTGAAAGATAAGAAACAAAAGACACAGTATTTCTACAAAGTTCTGAATTAAATACTTTCAACAAATCTAATCAAAGGAATCAATGTCGGATTACTCGGAACATTCACTGCTTGAGAACTGACGCGTAGGTCCGATATGTCCCCTTTTAAGGCGCTGCGTTGTGACTGCGGGATTGCGCTTTATGTTAATTTCGTTTGCCTACTTGGTGATGCAATCTCTATCTTATATGTGAATTGTATGTTTTAATTCTCTTTTTTACACTCGTACCTTTTCTCTTAGCGTTTATTTCTTATTTTTGAGCACGTATGTATATGCAGTGACCACAAAAGTTCTTTCCCGTCCTTAATTTTGCAGCCGTTGGTTGCAGACATATACTTCGAACTACAAAAATGCTTTAAATGCATATATTCATGTTTAGATATTTCTAAATTTAAACCTTTCGCCGTCCTCTCCTGTCCGCGGCCGTCTGTTTTTCGTAGCGTGTAATGTTGTTTTCTCTGTACATCATATTTTTCCATATATGACTTTCGTAGCGGATGAATGTCAATGAATATTAAATAAAATTATAAGGAAATAAAGCATAATGGAAAAATAATAATATTTCTGCTTATTTCTAACAGCAGGATAATTTGATAACATCTGTTCCAGGCGGTCCACTCCTCCCATTTTGTTGTTGTAATCTTTAACAATTATTCGTTTCTTTGCAGTTCTTTTCCGGTTCTAACATCATCATCGAGTTGTTATGGACTTATCATCAAACGTATCTTCTTGATTTCCAATTTACAACCTCATTTTTGCTCCTTTTCTGCTGAGTAGCTTGAAGTCTCTCACTGTCTTTATTTTTAAAATGGCACGAAATTCATAAACCCGGACAAATTCAATTATAAATAGAAGGCCTGTTTAGTGCTACCCTCTAGGATATTAGAACGACAAAAAAAAAAAAAAAAAAAAGCTCATACAAGTAAACACTTAGAAAGCGTTTTAAACGTTTCAAAGTTTTAAAATGACTTGAGGCGCGTTACCGCCGCCCTGCGGAATTTTCACTTGAACGCGCTAGACGCGTTACGGACGACGAAGAGGTTAAAGAAATCAATTTTGTTAAAATTACAATAATCTATCTTTTTATACATTGTTTCTGTGCCTATATACTTATATTTATGAAAAGTTTGTCCTCATTATAAAAGTATAGGGCACATGTATTATCACATCTCTACCTTGGCGCAGTTTGGCGAATTTTACGGAAGAAAAAGAACAGTTGCTTTTATTGTAAATAGCGTATACTATATGCATATATATTTTACATTTCAATTATATATTTATTCCAAAAAACAATCAGGAAACCTAATTACAAACGGGTTTTTGTTGCAGTAGAAATTTCGTAGCGATCGCTTTGTGAAGGATTTTGAAGCATTGTTTCTACAGCGAATTTTCGGCATAATACTGTATTCCGGCAGAAGTTTCACCTCTGTTTCTTATATTCATAGAGAAAGCATAAATTTTAAAATAGAGTTCAAGAAAAAAAAATAAGCGTAATTTTTCTATAAACGTTTTTAGGACTTGGAATAAAATAAAAAGAACGAATACGAAAATTGCGATGTTGGAAGCTGAGTATTTGTCATGCACATAGTTGCCTGAATTATTTTTATGCGCCTGGTTACCAGAGTTGGGAGTATTCTGAAACTTTGGCGATTTCTGTTAAGATGGTTGCTATACTACGTAAGTAACAAAACATAAGATACGTAAAAGATATTTTCTTTAAATTTATTTGCTTTAAATGATGCATCCAAAATTCAAAATTTTGGTGTGGTCTTGTAGAGCAGATATTCACAAACAAAATAAGCAGAAGTTCGACATTTCCACGAAGATTGCTCCTCAATTCAAAATAAATTGCCATCAATATATTGTTGTGCATCGTTCTCTTTCTGCATTGAAGCTCTGCAGTATTTAATTCCGACGGTGAATTACTAAACCGTGAAGAAAATATTCCTGAAAATAAGATGGACTCTGAAATTACTGTGCAGTTATTAAGTTGTTCGAGTTTGGCAGCTAGCCAAAGCTCGCAAGCCTCGAGCTCAGACGTTCGTGTATATAAATATACATGGAATGTGAATCGGTCGAACAGCAATTCAGTGTAATTTTTCAGCGATTTCTACGATTGCATTAAACCCTTATAATTTAATAGAATCTTTTTTAAAATGGACAAGAAGAATTATTTCACCTGAATAGAATTACGAACAATGTTCACAAGATTATACAAAAAATTTTCTCGGGCTTGCTAAAACATTTGTAATGTGAAACATTTGTAATGTGATATCGCCAAATCCCGAGTGTATCGATACTAGATAAACCAGATTTTTAAATGCATGGAGATGGACAAAAACGTAACGAACAGTTCATAAGAACTTTTATAGGTAATGAATTTCATATTTTTGTTCACGGTTTCTATAATTTTGATGTCAACATTTATTAGTAATTATCAAAGCCATTAATTTTGTCGTTTTTCATTAAAAGTGTTAATATTTCTTTCTCCTTTTCCATTAATTTTCCGTCAGATATTTTGGACAGCTGTTAAATATGCATGGATACGCAACGTCTTTTAACATTGCTCGTTTTCTCGAAGCTCTTAAAATCACCTTATTTATAATCGTGAATACATCTTCACGCACAATCATATCTTCGCGAAAATTGTACTTTTTGTTCTGTATGCGGTAAAAATGTTTCATATTATGTCAGCATATTAATTCAAATAAATTCGTCCTTACTTCAAAAATAATAAATAAAGTCATATTTCGGCAGTAAAATAATTGCTAGCATGTGATTTGCATTGATTTCGGAAATATGATTTTTTAAATATATAAAATACATAACTTAATAGCTTACTTTACAGATTTGCTTCATTTTTAAATATTTTGCTATAATATTTATGAAAAAATATTTTAAGTATTAATATTTTTAACAAAATTTTAACAATAATTTAGCACGTATTTTTAGTACTAATTATATTTAATAATTCAAGTATTTATATTAAATTTATATTTCATTAGATGAATCTACCTTATATTAATATATTTAGATGAAATAAAGTAATGAAACATTGCAAAGTATTTCTTATGCGAAAGTCAGATTCTTGAAAGGGCAGATGTAGTCTCTTTTCATTCTAAAAATAATGCTGACGAACTAAAAAAAATGCTAAAACGACCACGTCTAAAAGCGGTTATATCATGGCGTTTCAGCGACGTCGACAAATTTCCAAGATGCAACGGCAAATATTTTGCGTCTTCACAACGATGTAAAGACGTCGTAAAAGTTACCACGACCACTTTGCAATCT